TGGGCGAAATGTTAACAAAACATTGACTGCAGGTCAGAAAACGTGTGTGTGTGTGTGTGTGTGTGAGAGAGAGAGAGAGAGAGAGAGAGAGAGAAGACACCTCCCCCATAAGATGATCATATAATTTGATGATGATGTTATTTGTTCAGTTGGGTCTGACATTAAACCATATAAACCTATTATTTCATGATTGAAATGCTATTACCTATGGATTAAAAGCTTTAAAGTATGATATAAAATATTCTTTTGCCAAAAGTTCTGCATTTTATGTTTTATTGATAATATTTGCTAGTGGCATTAAACAAAATGATGTCTGCCTCATTGTGATAGTTTTGCCAAATTTTGTGGTCTATCCGCTGGTAAATCTCAACAATAGGAATGCAGTTTCAGTTGTTAAAAAAATCCATAATTTGGGTTTTATGTTTATTAAATGCGTTGTGCTTCTTCATAGATGGAATAATGGTGCAGATCACTCCAGAAACTATGGAGGGCTTGCGTCAAGCTCTGAGTGAAAAAAAAGACTTTCAAATTACATGTGGTAAAGTGGATTCAGGAGATTTCAGAGAATATGTAGACATTTGTTGGATAGAAAATGATGAGAAAACAAACATGAGGTATTTATTGTGTATTCTAAGCAGAAGTGTCATACGTGTTAAGATTTTTCTACAAAATGCCAACGTTCTTTGTAAAATGACTAATACTTGGAAATTGGCTGAAACACTATTAATAGTGCAAAAGTGTGGTTAAGTAAAACATCACATGGCCATGTTGGACTTGCAATATAGGTTCTGTTGCAATTGTTAAGCAAATTACCTATAATCATTTAATGAGAACATTATGTGATCATAACTTGCAATTTAACTTCCGGCTTCTCCATTGATTTTGCTTGTCAAAAGCCAGCTGTGCAGCACACAACTAGCAATTACATAATTGTAGGTCAGGATGATTGTTGTAAATGTGTAGTGATTATGTAGCACACAAATAACAATTACAGGTAGTCCTTGACTTATGACCACAATTTCTGTTATTAAGTGAAACAACAGTGAGTTTTAAGTGAGTTTGGCCTCATTTTATGACCTTTCTCACCACAGTTGTTAAGTGAGTCACTGCAGTTGATAAGTTAGTAACCCAGCTGTTTTGTGAATCTGGCTTACCCATTGACTTAGTTTGTCAGAAGATCGCAAAACCTGATTGCGTGCAATGGTCATAAATATGAACCAAATTTTAATCACATGGTCATGGGGATGCTGCAAAAGTCGTAACTGAAAAATGGTCATAAATCAGATTTTTTAGTGCCGTTGTAAACACAACAAACAAACTTGTAATTTGAGGGCTACATGTACGTACATGGCTGAAGGGAAAGTAACAGTTCTAAGTTCAAAAAATAATTGTAAAGTTATTTTTTTCAATCTGCAGTAACTTTAAGCAATTGCTAAATAACTATCAATAACCAAGGACTACCTGTATATTATCTATCCATGTGGTTCCCTTAGTAAAATATAGTAGTGGTTTACCATTAACTTTTCTTGTCCTGCATGAAATAATATCCTTAGTGGTGTTACTAAAGGAGTAATTCATCTTCAGCAGCTTATATCTGCTGCCCAAAGGAACCTCTTTGCTTTAGTTGGGTAGCTGGGAAGCCTTGGGTGACACTCTTGGAGTAAGTTTTTTGGGAGTTAACTTCTGATATTGTGGGCATATCAGAATAGCTTGATTAGTCCAAATAATATAATTTAAACCTTGCATCATAGAATTACAAGTCCGATAGATGGGAAATCTATGGAAGGAGTACAGAGTGAAAAAATAGTTCAAGAAGAATGTTTTGAAGTGGATGGAAAACTTGTAAAATGTACAGAAGTAAGTGAATGTTGCTTTTAAAGAAAATGCAAATTAAATGAAATTAGGTAGAATATTACATGTCCTCTGAATGTAAAAGAATACTGAATTAACCATGCATCTGCTTTTATCTCCACTTGCGGCTCTTATTTTGTCCATTAAATTAAACAGTTTTCTTTGGGAATATTCTGTTCAGGCTTTATTATAGTGATCACTCATCTAAAAAAGGTTAAATTACACACACCCCAAAACACCAAAATACCTGGACATAAAATCTAAAAAGTTGAAACTTTCAGCCATTGGTATTTTGATGATGACAAGCAAAATCTGATGCATCTCCCTGTAAATAAATGAGGATAATTTTTAAAGTTGATATTATTCACTCTGATATAGTGCCAATAGAATAAAAGGCTTCATAATTTAACCATCTCCTATGTTCCTTACTCTGATTCACATTTGTTTCTTCATATGATTCTGCCATCCTCGTTCTTATAATGATTATTGTATTATAACCATTTTTGTTCATTGATTTCTTGAGAAAGACAGTATTTCTGAATTCTAAATATGAGCGCTTTAATGGTAAATAAAATGAGTAAATGATACTAAACAAAAATGGAAATTGACAACTCTAGTATATACCTTCTCTAAAATCTAGGTACTGAATTCTCAATACCTCTTTACCCTTATCAATTGTAGCTGTACTTCTAATATTATAAACATGTTTAAAAACTATACTAATAGCAGTGTAAGTCTGATTATCAGGAGATGGTATGAGAGTTGGGGATGCTTCAAAATGCAGTAGCATAAAAGAGCAAGGTGAGGATGGCCAATGAGAAAGTTCATAATTTCCTCTCTTGAATCTTAAATAAATTCATTATAGAAAATTAATTGTTTTTGTCTGATGTTGGTTCTTTATTGCCGTTGTCACCCTGTTTAAATATTTATCTCATCTCTTTATTGGTTATCTATTTCTAATGATTAGAACATATAATGCACTGCTTAAGAGAAGCTATTAATGTTTTAATTTTTAAATTAATACTTTAGGTATTCTATCTGTCAAAGGTTAGCGAGCTACACAATAGTGTTCATCAGCTTGCTAAAGAAATTGCATTGGCTTCTTATATTGCCCTTGGAAAACATCTCAAAACACTGAAAAATAATGGAATGAACAAAATAGGCCTCAGAGTCTCCATGGATGTCGATATGGTAAGCTTTTAAAATGTTGCATTATCTGTAATTTAATTATAATTATTTATAATAATTTAGAAATAAATTAGTAATTACTAATTTATTTTTTTGCTTTTTCTTTTAGGTAGAATATCAGGCGGGATCTGGAGGCCAGGTTCTTCCACAGCATTACTTAAATGATTTGGATAGTGCTTTGATTCCAGTAATTCATGGCTGGATATCCAATACTACAAGTTTACCACTGGAAATGGAATTAATATTTTTCATTAATGAGTCTCTTTTAATATAACTGGCAAGTTTATGATAATGTAATGAACTGAATTGCTCTATTCACCAGTACCAAAGCAGTTAACATTACATTATGAATGAAATATTCAAGTGTTTTTATGCCAATGATTAAGCAGTCTTCTAAGAGAGCTTTATTTAATTAAAAGTTGTTTTTCCATCTTTACTTAAACAGGAAATTAATGAAACTTTCTTTATGTTCTGAAATGTTACATTTAATACAATTAAGGCAAGGAAGGAATAGAGTTAGCATGTGTGATTAAGGAATTATCTCCATTTTACAGATAATTTTAATATTCTTTGCGATTACTGGTAAATCTAGTGAATTATTCTTAACTATTTTGGGTGATTTGTAAAAAAAAAACATTTAAGTGGACTGGAAGTTTCTTGCTGCATAGTTCAGATATAAAAGCTGTTAATTACTAGAATATTGGCATAATTATCCTATCTTGAAAATGTTTCTACAAGTATAATTATCTTTATGATGAAACCAATGTGTTTTTGCCAGATGTGATCATTTTATAAAGCTATAAATTTTTAATATTGGTATATTTTAAAGTATATATTATTGCTGGAACTTGAGAGTTCCCATTTTAATGGCTGACTTTGTTATATATTTATAATGGCTTTAATGAATATAAAATTAATACTTTTTATATTAAATACTTAATAATGTTGTATTCTTCTGTGCTCAGATATATAGCTGTTTCTTGGATTTTCCAAGAAGTAATAAGAAGTCAGATGACCCTTAAAGTAGTCATCTTGTAGCAGTAAATCAGGCACGAAGCCTGTCTATGCTCCTTTCTCTACTTTTTGAGACCTCTTGTATCCCTGTTTATGTTCAGGGACAACAATGTGTTAGTTTGCCACAAAATACCTGAGGCTCTTTATAGAAGTCTTATTTTTGTAATGGGTTATTTTCAATAAGTAAGCATTTATGTACCAGAAAAATGATTGATATTACTACTCAAGTAACCTAAATCAAGTCTGATAATGCCTGCACATTGTTGCTGTTTGTTGTATACTATAGGAAATTGTATGTCGGTGTGTCTTTGAATTATTTATACTTATATTCCTATAATGGAAAACATATCATATTCTAATTATAACTATGCCTTGACATCAGATGTGTACATGAACTACAGTTACAAAGGCAATTTATTGTTCAGATATTTGACAAATACAGAATCAAGGCACAGAAGTGTAGAAGACTCCAATAAACTAGTCCCATGGGCCATTGTAATGAAAACATTGTATTCCTTTGTATCAAGAATTGTAAATTTGTTGTAGACTAAATGTTACATAATATGCACCTGTTTCTCTGTTCTGCTACTGTTGAACATATGATGGCAGCAGACAATGTTAAATGTTTGAAGCATTGATCCATACTGTATAATGACTTCTCGAGACACAATTTTGTATAGCACCAAGATTTATTCTGTATTAAGAGCTGTTTCGTTCTCTGGAGGATGATCCTTTTATAACTAATTAATAACATTAGGCTTTTATTTTAGAATATAAGTATTACTATATAAACATAAAGATTATCAAAAACTTTGTAAATTAAGCTCATTATATTTTAACAATACAGAAACAACATTTTAATTTTTCTATTTAGATCTCTTAGATACTTCTTTTCTTTTAATGGTTCAGTTCAGTTAAATTTCATCAGTTCCTTTTATGTTTTTAAAAAGGTATTCATCCAAGTGTTGGCAGCTCTTTTGATAGCATTGATCAGAATAACATAGAATAATAGGATTGGAAGGGCCCAATCCCATGCTCAGGCAGGAGACCTTATATGATTGCAAATAAATGGTTGTCCAATATTTTCCTGAAAATCTCCAGTGATGGAGCACCCAGAACTTCTGAATAATTGCTGTCATTGTCAAGAAATTCCTCCTTGGTACTCAGTTGGCTCACTCTTTAATGATCTTCCACCTGCTATTTCTTGTTTTGCCCTTGCGTGCTTTGGTGAATAGGTTGACTTCCTCTTCTCTAGAACAGCTCCTCAAGTTCTGAAAGACTGCTATCATGTCACCCCTATTCATTCTCTTTGTTAGACTAGACTAGACAGACCCTTATCTTTGTTGCTCTTCTCTGTACTCTTTCTAGAGTCTCAGCATCTTTTTTTTGTCATGGTGGCCAGAACTAGATGCAGTATTGCAAGTGCAGTCTCACAAGTGCAGTATAAAGCGGTACTATCACTTCACATGATCTTGGTACTATCCTTTAGTTGAAGCAGTTTTGGATTGCATTAGTATTTTTGGCAGATGTAGTACACTGATTGCTCATACCTAATTGTTGGTCCACTGGGACTCTTAGATGCCTCTCACATAACTACTGTTAAGCAGACACTGCCTATTTTGTATCAATGCATTTGTGTTTAAGTGCAGGATCTTACTTGTTTCACCACTGAACTTCACCTTGTTGGATAGGTCCTAATGCTCAAGTCTATCAAGATTCTTCTGAATCTTGAGTTTATCTTTCAAAGTGTTGGCTATTTCCCCCAACTTGGTGTCTGCAAATTTAATTAATTCTCTTTCTATCCCCATCTCCAGATCATTTAACAAAATGTTAATGAGTACTGAGCCTAAGACAAAAATTTTGAGGTACTCTACCACATTCTTCCCTCAGTGTGAATGTTGCTCTAATGAGGACTACATACTGAGTGTGGCTGATCAGCAAATTGTGAATTCATCTAGTGGTGGTATTGTCTATCCCACATTGTTCTAGCTTACCAAGAATTAGACTGTGATCTACTTTGTCAAATGCCTTACTGAAGTCTTAAGTCTGATCCACTAATTCAGTTTCAATTAGATAATATTTCTTTTAATTCAATGTTTCAGTTAATTTAATGGCTTTCTAGTCACTAAAATTGGGAGTGATACCTTATTTCATATTACTGAAAATTTACTGAATAACCTATGAAAAAGCAAAGTTATGACGGTGTTGAAAGCATAGATAATAAAATGTGAGATTGCAAGAACTTCATATCTAATTTTACATATCTAAAGGAATCTTGGTATTTTCCTTTAAATAAAAGTGTTCCTTCACTATATTTAAATATACTTTTTAGACTTATTATGATATGACAGTTGGGTGGAAAAGAAAGCTAAATGGCCCTCGATAGAGGTCCTCTGTTGCCTCTGGCAAGGCATTGACAGTTTTATTAATGGCAAGTTTTCCTCTTGTTGCCTATAATTCATCTGCAGTTCATAAGTGGGACCATCCAAAGATTACCTCAAGGTATGTACAAATCTGTAAAGCATTATCACTCAAAATGACTGGAATCAGTATTGGGAATAACAAATGTCACAACAGGATAATTTTCTGCTAAGCATGGATGGTATCATAACTTAGTGGTGAAAGCTCTGTCATTATGTGGTTTATTTGGTTTTGCTATATGAACTATGATTTATTTGGTCAATGAAATTAAATAAATCAGCACTGTGTATGAATTCAATCATTATGATTACCTTGCAATATTTCATAATGTGTTGGGTAAGCAAAAGGGTTTATTCTTCAAAATATTTTTCAGGTTGAGCTGAAATTACTAAACATAGTTGGTACAGTCACACAAACACACACTTTTTTCTCTCAAAAAAGAAGCTGAAAATCTGGGTGTGTCTTATACACTGAATACAGCATTTTTTGCCTCCTGAAACCCCGCCCCTTCACCAAAATGGCCGTGCATAACTTCTAGGAAGCTTAAAAGAGCTCCTGGGGGCTGGGGAGGGAAGAAATGAGCAAAAAACATTTTTGTTCAATTTTAAACCCCCCCCCCAAATCCCAGGAGCACTCTATAAGCTTCCTAAAGGCTATCCATGTCCCCCCCTTTTTTTAAAAATGGGCCATTTTTTGCTTGTTTTAGGGGGGGCNGTAAACCGCTTAGAGAGGGCTGAAAGCCCTATGAAGCTATATATAAGTCTAACTGCTATTGCTATTGCTGTTGCTTTACTTATGATTGCATTTGAGTCCAAAATTTCTGTTCCTAAAATTTTTTGCTGAGACAGTTGCTAAGTGAGTTTTGCCCCATTTTACGACTTTTCTTGCCACAGTTGTTAAGTAAATCACTGAAGGTCTTAAGTTAGTAACATGTTTGTTAATTGAATCTGGCTTCCCCATTGACTTTGCTTGTTGGAAGGTCGCAAAATGGAATCACATGATCCTGGGATACTGTAATCGTCATAAATATGAGTCAGTTGCCAGGTGTCCAGACATTGATCACATGAACATGAGGATTTTGCAACATTGAACTGAACTATTGTAAGTCGAGTACTACCTGTACTAAAGGTCATACCTGAGAGCACCTGAGATGTGTACCTCTTGTCTTGAATCAGCTGATAGCACAACAGGAACAGATTCTTCATAGTATCAAATAGATAAACAAATTTTTGGGTAATGAAATGACTGCAAGAAAACAACCAATTTCAGAGAGCAGTAAGGACCCCTCATTAAAATCCCAAGTTACAGATATTTTCCTTTATTAGATTACAAAATGTCCTTCAAAGAGCCGTCTGTTTCTTTTTTGCGTGAGAAATTTGATTCATTTCCATTTCTTTTTGTTACATCTTTGATTTCATGTGTTCTTTTGATCACAGGAAAATTTATTGGAAATTTGGAAAATATTACATTCACTGAAGACTTTCTTGGAAGCAAAGAGCATGGTGGATTTCTGTTCGTTACACCCACATTTCAGAAGTTAGATGATCTCATGCTATCTTCAAATCCCCTTTTATGTGGCATTCTTATTCATAAACAGGAAGTACCTTGGGCAAAAGTTTTTCCTATTCGCCTTATGTTGAGATTAGGAGCTGAATATGGGGGTAAGTATATTTCAATTTTTAATATTGAAACTATTGAATCTATTTATTGAATTCAATATTGAATGCATTGAATATTCATATAAAGATATATTGTGTGGGTTGATCTGAAGTTTATACTTTTCTCTTATTATGAAAGACTTGTCTGTTTCATTGGTCATTTTGGTTACAGTGGTACAATCATTTCTTTCTTACTACTGGACCATAGACTGAAAATAATATGTCATGCTATTTATATAGATCCATAGTTTAAATTTTATATTATTCAGGCTTTTCCATTTCTAAAGAACATTAAAGGGTTTGGGCATTATGGTACCACTTTCTGCCATTATCCACATTATATTATTTAAAAAAAAATTTCCATTAAGCATTTTTTTCAAGGGGCTTTATTTGCTATGATGCATTTAAGACTGGTGTTTAAAATATTATACTTTCCATCCATTCAATTTAGTCCATTTTAAATGCAAATACTGAGTCTTATGTTTAAACTTTCAAAGAGTATCAATAAACTCTATGCATTTCTTGTTTTTTTTATTTATTAGTCTATCCAACTCCATTGACAAGTATCAGACATAGAAAGCCACTGTTTGGAAAAATAGGCCATACAGTCATGGATTTACTTGTTGTAAGTATATGCGATTGCTTGTATTTCATTAGTATCTTCTATACCAAAAGAGAATGTAATAAAATAGATGAAGCTTGCTATTACAAACATTCTAATACTGCTTAAATATCAGTGAAATACAATTATAGAAACTATCAGTAAATGCATGAAAGGAAAATAATTAAGTGGAGTTAATAAAGATGATATTCTTGATGATATACTGTATATGTGCAGTTCATTGCTATGAAACTACTAATTTATTTATTTATTTATTTATTACTAATTAATCTTATTTTGCAGATAATTCATTACCACTGTTCATAATATAAAAAATAGTAATTTTTATAGTAGTAGTAATGAATTACTCACATGGTTCAAATTAGACAACTTAGATTAATCTTATTTTTATTGCATTGCAGGACCTTAGAAATTATCAATATACATTACATACAATAGATAATTTATTTATCCATATGGAAATGGGTAGAAGTTACATTAAAATACCTCTGAGGAAATATAATGATGTAAGTATAATTTCTGTTAATGACTTGGTACTAGATGAAAGAATTAGCAGCTTCGTGGATATACAGAATTTTAAATGGGTTGTTCTTTTGCAGCGGAACATTAAATTGCTAAATGGCATGACCCCTGTTGCAATACTTATGAACATTTATTCTAGGATTTGAACTTGAGCCAAGTTTGTGGTCCAGTGGAGACATACCAGAGATTTCTGTAAAAGCTTTCCTTTCCTTTTAGCATTTCCTGCTTTTTCTGAATAGACAGAATATAGGCTCATATTCTCACTAGGTGATTTTTTTTTCAGGGTGTTTGGATAGATGACAATGATGAATTGTTGTCCTGACTTCTTGAAGAATGGATAAAATAAAATGTAGTAAATTATTAGCCAAATAACTATTCTGCTTTCAAAAATATTGAAAACCTTTTATTTAATACTATTCATTTTATTTAAGTCAAAATGTAAAGATGGTTTCATAATACTGGAGAAAGCTAGCCTATATTATTTTTGTTCTATTAATAATGTTTCCCCAAATATTAGGAAACCAAGTAATGCTTCTATACACTCACAGCAAGTCTGAAGAAAAGGGATTTGCAGTGTAGGCACTTACCAATATTGTAAAAGAGAGAAATAGCAACATTAGTTTTTGGGAGGAATTCTGGTGTGCTAAAAAAAGGGCCACTGGATGAGTCTGAGGAAAAGGCTATTTAATTGAAATTGTTACATGTAAGTGAATATTACCATATTAATATTTTGAGTTTAATCTTGGGCATGTTCAATCAGGAAAAGTAACAATAAATATTCATGACATTGCAACTAGTATAATACAACATAGTATACCATAGCATAGCAATATATTATCATAAAATGTAATGTAGTATAGTGTGATGTGATGTATGATATGATATAATATAATATAAATGTTTTGGTCTTCTAGGTAATGAAAGTAATAAACACTTCTAATGAACATGTTATTAGCATTGGGGCAAGTTTTAATTATCAAGCTGATTCCCACTTAGTTTGTGTACAAAACGAGGATGGAATATATCAAACACAAGCGAACAGTGCCACTGGAGATCCTAGGAAAAGTAAGTATCATTCTGTACAATATTGAGCTCATGTTTTGGCTGGGACTTTAACCAAGCATGTCTAAAGACAGTTCTCCGTAAGTTTGTGCAGTATGTGCAGTTCCCCACCAGAGGGAAGAACACTTTAGACTGTATGTACTTTAACTTGAAACAGGCTTACAGAGCAATTCTCCTCCCTCACCTGGGTACATAACCCAAATAGTCATGGATTCTGACCATCTTTCTCTGCTGTTATGCCCGAAGTATAGTATAGTCTTTATTGTCATTGTACAAAATAATTAACAACGAAATTGGTTTTAGCCTCACTGGTGAAAAATTATAGCAGAAGGAAAAAAGAAAAAGAAAGAAAAAGACCCTAGTCATACGTTTCCATGTGTGCAAGAAGTGATTGTGGTTGTGTTTAAGAGTCTGACAGCCCAAGGATGTCCCTCTAAGGAAAAGAACCCAGCTAGTCTGGCCAGAGGGCGCTCTCAGTCAGCCGCAGGACTGTTTTGAAACCACTGAGTGGAACATATTCAAACATCCAGAACTACATGAATACACCAATGCCATACTCTCTTACATCAAAGTGTGCACAAACAACATAACAGTCAACAAGTGCATCAGAATCTACGGGAATTGTAAACCCTGGATGACTGCAGAGGTACAGATGCTTCTGAGAGCCCAGCATTCCGCCTTTAAGGCAAGGGACAGTGACAAATACAAAGAGGCCAGGGCAAATCTATGAAGAGGCATTAAGATGGCAAAACAAAAGTATAAACAAAATGTGGAGAACAAAATCTAGCAGACAACAACCCAAAGCAAGTGTGGCAGGGACTGCCGCACCTAACCAACTATAAGGGCAACATGAGGAAGACAGTCAACTCTGATGCCTCATTGGTAGAGCAGTTGAATATCTTTTTCGTCTGCTACGAGGTGAAAAGATCTGACCCCTGCCCGCCGGCCCTCTAACTCCCAGCTACTCACCTTGTATGAACACCAAGTGAGAACTACATTGAAGGCTGTGAACCCCAGCAAAGCTGCAGGTCCATATGGGGTGCTGGGGATAGTAGTAAAGACTTGTGTCAACCAATTAGCAGAGGTCCTGACAAGGATCTTTAACATCTCCTTGCAAATGGCCAGTGTTCCATCATGCTTGAAAGTAGCCACTATCATCCCAAAGCCGAAAAAAACAGCAATTAACTGCTTGAATGACTACAGACCTTTTGCATTAAAGTTTGTAGTGATGAAGTGCTTCAAGAGATTGGTTCTTCAACACCTTAGATCATGCCTCCCACCAAATTTTGACCAATACCAGTTTGCCTACAGGAGGAATAGGTTGACAGACAATGCCATAGCTTCTGCTTTACATTCCGTAGTGAGTCATCTAGAGAAATGTGGAAACTCTGTCAGAATGCTTTTCATAAGACTATAGCTCAACCTTCAACACCATTTTGCCGAGCATCCTTATCGAATAACTAACTGACTTGAATTTTCCCTCTCCCATCTGTGACTGGATTAAAGATTTTCTGATGGACCGGCCACAAACAGTGAGCACTGGATCTTTCATATCCTCCTCCCTGAAGCTCAGCACTGGCTCTCCTCAGGGCTGTGTGCTCAGTCCTTCTTCATTATACATATATGCTTGTGTATCTTCTGACCCATCCACTGTGATTATCAAGTTTGCAGATGATACCACCGTATTGGACCTCATTACAGGTAGAGACGAAGCAGCATACAGGGGGATAAATTCAAAAATTATCCACATGGTGCTCAGAAAACAACTTGTACCTGAACATCAGCAAGGCAAAGGGATAGTGCTTGATTTCCGGAAGAAGAGAGCGGAACCTGCCTCACTTTACATCGAGATGGGCTGTGTGGAAAGAGTCTGCTCCTTCAAATTCCTGGGAGTCCATTTTAGCTAAGATCTCACCTGGAAAAACAACACAATCCAGGTGGCCAGGAAGGGCCATCAGAAACTCCACTTCCTTAGGGTCTTGCGGAAGAACAAGGTGGAATAACAACTAATGCCCTCCTTTTACCGGTCAACAATAGAAAGAGTTCTCACTTACGATATGGTATGCTTGACAAACATGGATAGAAAGACATTACAGAGGGTGATGAGTAGGGCACAGAACATCAAGGGATGTCCCCTGACACCACTAGATGAAATCACTAGGACTTGCTGCCTTAGACGAATGAGGAAAATCCTCAGGAATGACTCACACCCTGGTCAGCACTTCTGGCATAGCCAGTTGTATGGACAGGCTGAAGAACATCTTTTATCCATGGGCTGTCAGACTCCTGAATGCAACATAACATTGTAAGCATGTAGTATGATAGACTTACAGGACCGGTGCAACGTGCAACATATTCATATTGGTGCAATATATTATAACATAATGTTATGCACCTTTATGTACAGAGGATTGTGTGTTTGTTGATACGATTTACTGGGTTAGGAATTTTCTTTCTTTCACTGTGAATTATTAAGATGTATTTGTGTTAGGGAGGTGCACTAAGGGAAGCTCAGCCAATCTCATTATTCACATTTTGTGCATTGACAATAAAGGTTCGAAATAACTAGCACACATTCCCATATACATATATGTTTATAACATTATATTACACTGATATAAACATGTTGCAGGTTGCGCTTACCCTGCAAGTCTATCACATTAAACCCAATTATGGTGTTACGTTGCATTCAGAAGTCTGATGGCCCACAGATAAAAGCTATTTTTCAGCTGCTTTGTTCTGCTGGCTATGCTTCCATATCTCCTGCCCGATGGTAGGAGAGTAAAGAAGTGCTGACCAGGGTGTGAATCATCCCTGAGTATAACTCAGTTAAAAAAAAATTGAAGAAAAGAAATATCTATATCTATTTCTTTTCTAGATTTGCAATAGATTAAAAGAATAGCTGCTGAATGTTATGGTTTGTAGACTTTTTGGTTCCACCACAAAACCGCGGTAGACTAAAGCGCGTGTGACTAAAGCGCGGTGACAAAACCGCACCGTCAAAACCGCGCAACAACAGCGCGCCGACAACAGCGCGCCGACAGAAGCGCGCTGTAACATAACCCTAAACCTAACCCTAAACCTAACCCTAAACCTNGGACATCTTCAAGTTGTCAAGGTTGAGAAACACTGCTCTAGTGAAAGAAAATTCATCATATCATGTGACAGCCTGTTCCACCAGCGGACAGCTCAGACAATCTGGATCAGATTGGTTCTGATCCTGCTCTGTGAGGCAGTAGATAATAAATTAAATAGAAAATAGAACAGAAATTAAACAACCAGGTCTCTTGTACGAAATTACTCCTGCCACTGTTTTCCACGTAGGATTTTGGAGTCAAAATATATTGGATTATTTTCTGAATAGTAAGCAAATTAAAACAAGAGATGGAGCTGAAATCATTTGGTACCACAGAGCAAACAGCAAGCAACATATGAAAGAGGCAATACAGAGTAAGTATTGGAAAATAATACTTGAATGTAAACCAGGTAAGTAAATTTAGTTTTTCTTATTGTGTATTTCATAATATAATGTATCAGTACTTATTTCAGTAATTCTAAAAAAGCAGAGCAGAGTTAAATCACAAGAGCATTGAATTTAGTTTGATGGAAGCGGCAGGGACTTCTTTTTTTTTAGGGAGAATCAGCTTTTTTTTTTTTTTAAAGTAATCTGTTATAGAGATACTGAATTTCCTGGCAGTACCATCAGGAAAAATATTTATGCTTTGAAACAACATCTGAAAAATATAATTGTACAAGGTGCAGTGCATTTATTCCATTTTGCTAAATGTATTCATTCATTCGTATATGTTATATGGTTATATACCCTACCATTAAGTTTTTTCCTGGCAAAAAATTCAGACGACAATGTTGCATATTCACATAATAATTTTAGCCAAGGTTAAGGTAAACTTGGTTCACTCAGTCTGATTTTCTCTAATTACACAATCGAGTCAAAATTAATCCCAATTTGGAACTGCATAACATGTTAATTTCACTAATTTCTTGATCAGTATGTTCTGCAAATCCACCCTCTATTATATATTTCATATTTCAGATTGAGCAGACTTAATCCAAAATTGTTCCAAAGCAAATGTGCATCAGACTAACTCCTTTACCATTTCATTTCATTTCATTTCATTTCATTTGTCTTGTATGCCGCCCACTCCCGGAGGACTCCGGGCGGCTCACAATAGACAAGGGAAAGGGGATAAATAGACAGAGACAACACTTTAAAAAAGATGCAACATTCACAATTTCCGTGGGGCTGGATGTTTCACAAGCCCCCCCGGCCTGCTGGAGCAGCCAGGACTTGGTGGCTTTGCGGAAGGCCAGGAGGGTAGTAAGGGTCCGGATCTCCATGGGGAGGTCATTCCAGAGGGCTGGAACTGCAACAGAGAAGGGTCTCTCCCGGGGAGTCGCCAGCCAACATTGGCTGGCAGATGGAATCCGGAGAAGACCTAACCTGTGAGATCTTATCGGTCTGAGGGAGGTAATTGGCAGGAGGCGGTCTTCCAAGGAAGAAAAAGCAAACTGTAGCCTGGCTCAAAAAGCAATGCATTCCTATCTAAACTCACTGCCAGAGAGTACAAATAAGCCCAAAATAAGGGACTGCAGAGTTCTGAACTGGATAGAAGAGGGAGGATGAGGTTCAGCATAAGCAAATAAAGAATTGTACTTCACTGGATTTCACTGTGTTGTTTTTGGACTTGGGCCTGACATAAGCAAATAAACCGCTTGTTCTAAAAACAGAAATTAAATGATTTGATACCCAAAGCAGAGAGAACAGTGCTTTTTCCCCAGTTAGCTGCCCTCTGAGCAATTCTAATTCTTTCACTAATTTATATTTTAACCCAATAGATGTTTAAAGTTCATATTTTTTTCTATTGCTTTCCCAACAGACAACATAAGTAATGTGATTAGAATGTATACATATTCATGGGAGACAGAAATTATTCTTTCTTACTTTAGTTCATATAATTACCCCGGGCGTAAAAGGGGAAAATAAATTTGAGAGATGCAGATTTTTTAATGATTTATCTCCATGATTCCTTAGATTGTGAGTTCCACATAACTCCTTTTATTAGTTCTCATGTGATACATAAGTAGAAGAAAATAAACACTTTGCTACAAATGGCTTCTTAGATATGACAACATTATTGCTATTTTTCTTTTCTTTGTTTCCTTGTTTTTGTAAATTAATAGGTGCTGCTCACATGATAGAAGCAGATGTCCTTCTTTATGGTAATCAACCAGTCATGGCTCATCCACCTGAAACAAATAGTGATAATACACTCAAAGAATGGTTAAATGAAATTAAAAACACCAATAAAGGGATCAAGCTTGATTTTAAAAGGTAATTTGGAAAGTATACACAGATACATTTCAGACTTTAAATAATCACTATATTATTGAATAAGGAATTATTGATCAAACAATTATCAACACATACATTATGAAATGTAATAACATCTGTATAAGTATGCCAAGAATTGCATTTTTATTATTATCCTGCAGGACCTATCATTAAAGTGCTGAAAGAAATCCTAGTAATAAAAAGCTAAAATAAGATAGCTAGCTAATATCAAAAGTTTGGAAAGAATAAGCCTTACTGCAAGTATTTAATATATTTTACAATACAGCACCAGCAAATAATTCACTTAATGATTCTTCACATTAGAACATTCATATACCATATTTTTCAGAGTATAAGACTCCCCCCCAAAGAGCATGGAAATGTTGGTACGTCTTATACACCGAATACAGCCATTTTTGGCCTCCCTCAACCCCAAGCAGCACTGAGCAGGCTTCAGCAGGGCTGGGCAATGCAAAAATGCCTGCGTTTTTTGCAAAAAAAAAGGGGCTGTTTTTCACAAAAACGAAGGCTTTCTTGCCTTATCCCCATCCCTGCTGAAGCCTGCAAAGTATTGCTGGGGGCTGAGGGAAGGCAAAAAAAGCCTGCATTTTTGCAAAAAACGGCCCATTTTTCTCAAAAACAGAGACATTTTGCCTCGATCCAGCACTGCTGAAGCCTGCAGATTGCTGTGGGGGCTGAGGGAAGGCAAAAACTTTTTTCTCTTACTTACCTCTTCGAAATCTTGGTGCGTGTTATACACCAGAGCAGCTTATAGACCGAAAAATACGGTAGTGGTTACTTCACTTGATCCAATTCTTGTCTCTTATTTTTCCATTCACAAGTTGTAAATGTGGATTATTTTTATTATAACATTCTTTTGTGTAAGGTGTATTCGCAAACTTGTGGTAGTGCTGCCACGGGCATCCATAGCTATGTGATTATGATTTTTAATGCTCCTCGACAGATTCCCACAAGCAAAATCAATGGGGAAGCTAGCAGGAAGTCAGAAGTTGCTCCCATTCCCACTGCTTTTTTGCTTACCTATGGTGATTCTGCCTAACTCTTTAGGCAGTGGTAGGATTTAGCCAGTTCGCACCACTTTGGGAGAACCTGTTGCTAATTTTCTGAGCAGTTTAGTGAACTGGTTGTTGGAAGAAATCTTTAGGGCAAAGAACCAGTTGTTAAATTATTTGAATCCCCTTACTTACCACTGTGGTAAGTACATACTGCAACTGTCAGTATTTGTCTATTATTTAATGTATTCTGAAATAATTCAAAATGAAAAGTTGGCAATAATTAGAGTAAATGACACTACCAACAAAAGATGTTTCTATATATGTAATCATGTCTCACTTAATATGTGTATGAAGTTTCACTATGCTTCAGGGATTTGAAAATCCTTTGACTTGTCACCTTTAGGACTACAGAGCTCTATGTGACAAACTATTGGCCTCACTGCACAAGTTCTTTGATCTTATTCTTGTTATCTTTATTTGTTATTTCATTCTTTTGTTAATTTTAAAAACTTAATAAAGAAAATAAAATAAAACAATAGCAAAATTCTCAGTTATTTCAAACAATCTTTTTTTCCTGATCAGTAGAGGGTGCTACAACCCTGAAACTCTTTTCCACTATTATTTCTTTAAAAACTGTTGTGGTGTTTGTTTGTTTGTGTGTGTGTGTGTGTTTTAATGAAGAATTAGCAAATATGGAAGTCGAAAAGCAAGAAAAACATCTTAGAATTTAAATCCCAGAGCAAGCATACAGGACTAAAAAGAAATCCCTGTTCCTTCCTTTGCCAGCATCAAACTTAACATTCTGGTATTGTGTGTGAACCTCTGTCTTGCTATCTCTGTATAGTGTCCAGGGTCATTGGATTTTCTGTTGTTTGTAATAAAGCAAGCTGTGCCATTTTGTTAAATTTTTGGGGTAAACAAGTTCCTGTATATGGATGTTGAAACTTTGGAGTAAGATGTATTGCCATGTATGAAATGCAAAGTAACTGTTTTTTTTTATTATTTTGGGAGCTTTGTGGGCATTAAGAGGAGAAAAATTACAAATTACAAAAAAGGGGAAAATTGTCCTGATTTTTTTAATCATTTGCATGCTTAAACCACCCAATTTTATTATTAATTCTTCCCTCAATTTTAAAACTTAAAAATATCCAAATATTTCCTGCCAAATTTGCATTTCCAGTATTTTTTATAATTAGTGAAAAATATACATCTTTTTATCAGATACTTTAAAATGTATTGCTTGTTTGTAGTCTAGAAGCTGTGAATCCCTCAATGAAACTTATTGGAGACCTACATCTTAGGCAACCTGTTTGGATTAATGCAGACATACTTCTAGGACCAAAAGGAAATCACCCCGTAGATGCAAAGGGATTCCTGGACACAGTGATATCATCTTTTCCAGATGTAACTTTATCTTTGGGATGGACTACTGGGAGAATTAATTCAAAATGCAATACAGGTAATGCAAACCTGTGCTAATGCTTTAAATTCATTTATAGATAATACTATAAAATTCATCTTGTCCTGTAATCAGGACAAGACATTTTTAGGTTTCTATAAAAGGTGACCTTTTATACTGAGATCACTGCACATAGAGGACTAAAGTTCAACACATGGAGGATAACCAAGATGAAAAAACTATTATTACAATCATGATTTCCCATCCCCTTTACTCATGCAATTTTCAAGACGTGCATATAAATCTGACCTGGCTGATATTTATATCAAAATGATTCTTTGATTCCACAACTGTAACATTAATTTCAAAGACTACAGCAAGGCATTACAATTAATATTGTATATTTTGAAAAATAGTATAGCATAGCATAGCATAGCATAATATTCTATAGGGAGGCAATGGGAGTTAATATAAGTAGGGTTGTACTGAATTGACAGAAGCTATCATGTCACTGTCATCACTTGCACATACAAAAGGGACAGAGTTTGTGGAATGGCAGTGATGCATTCATCATTTTGACAAAAACAATGAGTGCTCTGGATATTTTCAGTTATGTTACATTATACCTTATCTTTTTTAAATGCAGAGAAGAACAGCAGTTTGCAAGAATCAAAGTTTCTCTTTCCCATCCTTTCTCTTCTTATTCCTTCTCATTCCATAAAAAAGGGTTTTAATTAGAGGTGGACAGTTTAACTATCAGAAATTCCATATCTGAGTACTATAGCATTTGTTCCTTCTTTAGGTTATAGTCTAGCCATGGTACAAGAAATGGCAGAAATATGTAGAGATCGTACTCAGCCAATCACATTTGCTGTAAGAGCTGATTTGGTCTGTCGGTCAAAATCTGAACTTCTGTGGTTACTACAGCAATCAGACAGGTATGGTTTGCACTAACTGAATTTTGTAATAATGTATAAAAGATTTTAAACATAATTTTAAAAAATAACAAAATAGAAAGTATCTGCTTCAACAAAGCTAAAATAAGGAATGTTTCCTTTTCATTTACTCTTCTTGTTGTACCTTATATCAGGATGGGCAATCAGACATCCTCAAGTCCCATTTTATGGTTTTCAGAGTCTGACTATATATCCTGAAAACTAATAGCAAGATACCACCATTTTTGCATGGGGAAATATATCAAATCCACCAACAATGCACCAAGATAGACTTATCACTATTAAACACAAACAAACCTCTGCTTCTCTGCCAAACGATGCAGCCTCATCTTTCTTGTAGCTTTAAGATAGTCCTACCCCAAAACTCTGACCCATGATTTATGAAGATGGGAAATATTGCCTGAAACCAACCATTATTAATAAGGCTTCACACTTTTTTTTATTTCAGTAGATTCATGAATTTTGATGATGTAACTATCATGAAATATGTGAATTCAATGAAACACTTTTGTCAGAAAGCTAGTTTGATAGAATCATCATTGTGAAAATAACATTTATAACACAATTAAAGTTTTGGCATTTACTTTTATTGCAATACCTATTTTGGGTAGCTAAATATCTGTTAGATATTTTAGATACTTGTGAAATAATTCAACTTTGGTTACTCTTCTTCCAGGTACACGTTAACCATTTGGACTGGAAAAGATGATGAATATTCCGTAGATGATTTACTCTTCATCAGACGTAGCTTTGATAAATGTAGAGTTTTTTATGATATCTTGGAGCCACAAAATTCTGAATTCAGAAAAGCCATAGGAATATAAAAGGACAAATAAAACAGCCCAGTCAACAATATATTTAGTCTTTAGACTGAGCGGAAAAATGCATTAAATTGAATTATAAATTTCTATCACTGGTGGAATACAATTGTACTTATTGAAGTGGATGATTTCATCAATTTCCCTTCCACAGCTTCCTTTATCTTCTGCCTCCACAAAAGTTGATCTTATGAATGGTATGGAATTTTAGAGGAGAGGGAAATAAATTGAGGGATTTTATGGGAGAAATTATTTTCCCTTGCATGAATAAAGACAAAACTAAGATCAAAGTTGATTTTTAAAAAAATCAAACTTTTAAAATCTACTTTAATTTTTAAAGCTTGTTTATCCTCATTACAGAGTGAGATTCTTAAAGTGAGAAGAATTTTCAAAAAGTTTATTGAAACCTACTAAGGTCATTCGCACTCTGCCATTTGAAACTTCTTTATTCTTTATTGGCCAAGTGTGATTGGACACATTTGTCTTTGGTGCATATGCTGTCAATGCATATAAAAGAAAAGATACATTCGTCATGAATCATAAGGTACAACACTTAATGATAGTCATAGGGTACAAATAAGCAATCAAATCATACTAGGAAACAATCAATATAAATTGTAGGATACAGGAAACAAAGTTACAGTCATAAGTGGGAAGAGATGGTGACAGCAACGATTGGAAGATTAATACTAATAGTAATACAGACTTAGTAAATAGTTTGACAGTGTTGAGGGAATTATTTGTTTAGCAGAGTGATGGCGTTTGGGAAAAAACTGTCCTTGTGTCTAGTTGTTCTGAAGTGCAATGCCCTATAGCGTCGTTTTGAGGGTAGGACTTGAAACAATTTATGTCCAGGATACAAGGGGTCTGTAATATTTTCACAGCCCTCTTTTTGACTCGTGCAGTACACAGATCCTCAATAGAAGGCAGGTTGGTAATAATTGTTTTTTCTGCAGTTCTAATTATCCTCTGAAGTCTGTGTCTGTCTTGTTGGGTTTCTCCCTTGGGTTCTACCTTCTATCTGCTTATGTAGACATTATATCCCTGTATCTGTAATTAGGCTGTGCCCTTATATTACACTAAGGAGATAACAATGATCTACAGGTGTTTCAGATTCAACTTCAAACTACTTTAGCCAACATTATCATTAGGAAAGAATGTGGGTGACTGTAATAAAAAACAAGCAGATAGAATTTGATTACTCCTGGTTAAGACAACTGACAGTGCCACAAATTTCCTACATATTTAACTGACTTGGAACATAGATTGATACAATCTAAGCCATAACAATATTTGGTTTTTCTTTAGAAAGTTAATGGTTTTTTTTTTCACCAATAAACCATGGTTTAGTGCTGTGGGTAACTCTATTATACCTTAGCAACAGATTCCAAATTTCCCTGAGATACTAATAGTTTTTATATTTTTCATACAAGCAGAAAATTTCTAGAACAATTCTACAAAAAATGCAAGACATACACCATAACGTATAACTAAGCATTCCTTTAATAATATAGAAAGTATTATTATTAATTGGGCATATAAATCATCTTACACTGAAGTTAGTTTGGCACCTGCTGGTATCTCTAGCCTTAGTGAATCCAATGATGGGGGAGCACGAACTGGAAAAGCCTTGCCTATAGGCTCTGTGCTTTCCTTCATTAATTTATCTAGGAAAATGAGTTGGATATGTTAATGGACATAATTTAGGAGGAGATATAGTGTGTGTGGCACATTATAAAGGCTGTACTCCTTTATATGGAAAGACAAACATTGCTAAAGAGGGTAATTACCCTACATAGGCATTATTTGACTTGGGGCTTTAAACCACAGCACTTATTGCAATCAACCTCCTGCTTAGGTAGTTAGTGAGGCATCCTTCATGGGTCCTCCACAGATACATTTAATAGAGACAGTTATGTTTATTTCTATGGTGGTGTTGCTTTTTAATGTGGAGCAAACTGATTCAAAAGGGCCTCATTTGCTTAAGAATGTGCTCCAAAATAATTCAATCTAGGCTGTTCAGTTTTATATCGTTGTAGAGTTCACTGTGCAATTATTGCTGTAAACAACCCGAAACATGAAGTTGAGAAGCATATACCGTACATTTTTAAAATATAGAGTCAATGCTTAAACTTCTTAGTGTATTCTTACTATGATATTTATAATGTGGCTTTGGGGGTGAGATAGCACAAAGCTGTTGAAACCTTTTTTCCCCCCTTTCAAAATAGTTCCAAAACATTCAAAAGCTGATTTGTCATTGGAATCTGTCCCTTCTGTGGAATTTCCAACTGTTAGAAAAAACTAGTACTATAGCAGATTTTCATAGGAGCCTGGCAGATGGCGAGTCTTAGATCAATTATTTTAGTTTATATAGAGATTGTACAATTTTGACATCTCTGCCGGTTTTGACATTTCTGCCAGTCTGTTATTCTATTCCAATTTAAGGTCTGTTGAAGATGGTCATAGACACCTTTCTCCTCTGATGTCCAGTTTTTCCACAGAGCATACCTGTGCAAAGAGTAGAACTAATCGGCAACTGGCTTTAAAACAAACAATAGAAGTGGAGCTTAATTTTTTAACAGTGCCAAAAAATCCCAGAAGACGGTTTAAGTCACCCCTATATTTTCCCAAGGAAACAAAATGGGCACGTCAAGTGTCAAGCCTGACTTGAAGCAGACTTCACTTTTATATCCCATTTTGACTTTTCTTTATTTAATTTCCTAGGAGAAAAGGGCCCACATAGAAATACAATTCTACAATTCTAAATGACCTCTCCACAAATTACCCTAAGGTTGTCTTTGTATTGTATAAATATTATATACACATTATCTTTACATTCCTATCTGACCCAAGTCTTGGTTCAATAAATTATTTCAGTGTCCTGGATTTCCATGTTATACTAAACCACTGGTATAATATGCTAGGATAAATTGTGATTGGCTAATAATGTTTTAACATATTCTGAAAATACCCTTGAAGGCATACTAGTTCTTACCCAAGCAGACCCAAATCTTTAACACAAATGCATATTTCCTCCCAAAGAGTATTGAAAATAAATGCATTTTTATCATTTCAATTGAATGATATATGACCGAAACTGCTCTTACAGTTGACCTTAATAATCTAAAGGAAAAAATAAATCTAGCAGTAAAATAGTTACCAACTATAATTAAAATTTAACAGAGTAAAATGAAACAGCAAATTTTGGTAAGAAAGGCATACTCAAATCTTTTGTTTGCCTCAATTCATTACTAATACTTTTATGAAACTATAACAATTTTTTTTTTTTAATTTCATTCCATTTTAAAATAGTGGTTTGAAACTAGTGTATCATTGAAAAATCGTTATTCCCTTTATCATTCAGTAGAGTGCCTATCTTTTTGAATATTTGCAGAGAGTAAATACAATAGCCTCCCCTTTCAAATGTCATTTATCTTAATTGGATATTAGCCCTTTTTCATTTTCTCCATTATCCAATTTTTTAATCACGGAGGCTTTTACTGAAGTTTGACTACATTTACTTAAATATTTTCCATAAACCTTTTTCATGTTATCTTATAACTCCCCAACAGAGTTGTATTGAGGTTGGAAACAAAAAAATTTAATCGTTTCAGAACACACGTTATCTGTTTCACATTGCCAGTGGCTGTGGGTGTATCATAAGATACATAAAGGGAACTGTAATAATTCTACAATGATTTTATACTGCATAATCTTGTTATATAACTCTGAAAAAGTTGTTGATGTGATTACCAGCATATGTTCCATATAATTTCTTTCATGTTGTTAAGACAGATTGACTGACCCCTCGTACATCAATTTATAATCTAGAGCAGGTTGTATATAATGGAGTTGGATCTGAAAGAACTGAGCTTATGAGTCATACTAAACCATAATATAAAAATGCAACTCAAGGTACATGTATCAAATCAACATGCCAAATTTATTAGCAAAACTAATTTCTTACTAGGCTATATACATTAGATTTTTCTAATTACATTAAGACAACAATTTCCCAATAATTATTGGATGTATATTGAAATTACTCCACAGCATACAATATTGAACAATGGACAGTTCTGGAAGAATTATTTCTAGAGGTATAGACAGTCTTTTAGGAAAAGCAATTAAAGTTTTTTGGTATTTTAAGAATTAACTAATTTTGGTATAAATTTCTTCATCTGGCTCTCCCGTTCCTTAGTTTGCCCCTAATTAGTGCAGCTAATGATAGTTGTCTGAAAAGTAATGGGAGTTGTATAAGGACAACACAATGGGGAGATACTATTAGAGTAATGAGATACTATAGCAATTACAATAGTAACGTAATGAGATCCCATAATAAAATCCCTTCTCAGATTAGAAGAAGCCACTCCCATAACTCCAAAGACTAAATGAAGGTCTCGATATTCAGAAGAATCTGTAAAAATTGCATAAAATTGCAGTCTTTTATACTATTTGAGAATTGAGCGTACCAAAAATTTTAGAACAAAACACCAATAATTCCAAAGTTTAAATCTAGGTAAACACTTTTATTGTTGTAAATCTTGATCTTATTGAGAGACTAAAAGCTTCAAAACAATTTTAAAGCACCTGTTAGTTCTCAGCACAGAGGTCTGGCATTTCTTCACAGGAATTGTTCCAGCACAAAGTTTAATTCTGACATTTACAGTGTTCATATTTCCTTTTTATTCCCATGGAACAAGAGTAAATAGCAAAGTTATTTTTCATAATAAATGCCTAAAGGGCTTAAAACATGTAGCAGAAACATAAAAGGAACATCTGCCACATTCAGCAAGGCCTAACTGTACGTTACAGCTATCATTCTCATGCAAAGACATTGTAGATCCAAATATCCAATATAGCAATTAGCAATAGCACTTAAAACTTATATACCACCCCATGGTGCGTTACAGTACTCTTTGGGCAGTTTGCAATGTCAGCATATTACGCCCAACAATCTGGGGTTTCATTTTACCAACCTTGGAAGGATGGATCAACCTTGAGACCTGTTAGGATCGAATTTCAGGCTGTGGGCAGTTGGCCTGCAATACTGCATTCTAATCACTAGG